CACACACACACACACACACACACACACACACACACACACACACACACACACACACACACACACACACACACACACACACACACACATGAACACACACAGAGGAACATACACAAAACGCACAAATGAAGTTAAGTTAGCATTGACTACCACTTCAACTTTTTTAACGCGACCAGCAAGAGCAGGAAGAGACCAAGAAAATCTAAGGACCAGGATGAGGATGGTGGCAAGGACAAGAATAAAAAGGAGGGCAAAGGCAAAAACAACGACCAAGAGAAAAGAGATGGAAATGAACAGACATGAGGATGGAGAGATCGAAAAGGGAGATGAACAAGAGAAAGACAAAGATGCAGATAGAGATGAAGAAGACAAGAAGATGCAGATGGAGCTGCGTAACGAGAAGACGGCGATCGAGATGCATGTGAACATGAAGACGAAAACGAAACCGAAAACACAAATGAATATCAAAGCGAAGACGGAGACAAAGACAAACGTGAAAGGGCAGTCTTCGTCTTCGTCTCCGTCTCTATCTTTGTCTTCGTCTTCGTCTTGTTAGAGTATCTCCGTTTCCTACCTTCCATTTTCATGCGGTGGGGGCATGGAGGGTACCTTCTGAAATCCTGAGTACACTACATGCATGCAGGCTGCGCTATCTCCATGGACACATCCCGGGAAGTAGCACCTTCTTCCCCCAAATACAACATCCGGTCATTATTCCTGTATCTAGGCCGATAGTTGTCCCAAATACAGCTATAATGCCCGTACGTTCTATTCAGGGGAGGACGGTAGTGTGAGAATCCTCTCACCTATCCGATCGGCAGCTGGAACTCAAAGTCACAATGCAAATCCAGTACAACTGTACTTCATTTTTTGCCAGGCCACATGCCACTCGGCGGTTCACCAAGTCGCGGCTTTGCAATTGGGTTCACGTTCATTTTAGAGCATATTCACACTAGGGATTCAGAATGCGGTCGTAATCACAGCCAGATACGTTCAGGAAAGCAAGAAAGCTCTTACTCTGCTGCTGATTTTGACTCTCTTGCCTCTCAGAGTCCAGGAGAGACGTCGACGAGTTCTCTTGTATCTCAGTTTAGTTATGCTACTGCTGAAAAGAAGAATGTTTGTCCGTTTTGTTGTGAGTTGCATCTTGCAGTGAAGATAATTTTTTTTTCTTTTTTCTTCATTTTTAAAGAGAAATATTTTCATTTCGTTTTTTTCCTTCGAGCCTTTTGTTTTGTGTGTGTGCTTCCTAATTGTCCCGTTCTTACATGCACAGGGGCCATGCTAATCTTCTTCTTTTTTTTTTTCTTTCCCGCAAGCGCAATGGTGATATCATTGTTCACCTTATCACATTAAACAGTTTCAGAGATCCATTCAGTCATCAGGCACTCAACAGCGCAGCATTCAACAACCCAATACCAGCATCCTCATCTAAGGAAGGTGTCTCTCTCTCTCTCTCTCTCTCTCTCTCTCTCTCTCTCTCTCTCTCTCTCTCTCTCTCT